CTGGGGGACTTGAGGGCATCATATACTGTGCGGAGTTCTAGTTCTACCAGTTTGAGTCAAATGTAACTAACTCAGGATTGCTGGGATTCAAATGTGTGCTGCCACTTCAGTTTTGTAATGGGATTTGACTGCCAGACCATGGGTCCCCAGATGACAGAGGGCATGCCAGAGACAGCCTCTGCATATGCTTAGCATTCCAAAAGAGTGAATGGGCTGGGAAGTGTGTGTGGGGGGAGTATGTTGCTGTGTGTGTTGAGAGAGCAGTGTCAGGCCCTAGAGTTACCCCAGTAGCCAGGGCCTTTTTGAGAAGGGAGGACCCAGCAAAGCATAGAGCTTTGGGGCTAGCGTGTATGAGCTTGGGACAGCAGGTTGTTAAACTTCCACCATTTCAGCAGCCATTGTGAAAAATTAAACTAGCTATGCTTACAACTAAAGTTTAAAGCAGGGGCTGGAAAGTCGAAGTCACCTGTAATTCCTGTTCCAAGCGACCTAACGCCCCTTCTGAACTCACCTGTAAGAGTGCATGCTCCCACATATACACATAATTAAAAATAAAATACATCTTCAAAGAAACAAGCTAACAAACATCTGCTAAAAGCCATGGTGGGGAGGAGCTTGGAGATGCAGCCTAGCTGGTAGAATACTTGCGTAGCAAGCAAAAAGCCCTGGGTTCCGTCCTAGTACCACACAACCCAGGGTGTGGCGACACTCGCCTGCAATGCCCATGCTCAGAAATTGGAGGCAGGAGCATCGGAGATTCGAGGTCATCCTCAGCTGCATAATGAGTAATAAGTAAATAATTAAATAAAAATAAAAGTGGACTGGGGTATAGGGCAGAGCACATTGATTAACCCGTTTGAGGCCCTAGTTCTATTCCTAGAAGCCCCTATAGACAGGTAAGGATGGAGGCTGGAGAAATGCCTCTGTAGTTAGGAGTGTATGCGGCTCTTGCAGAGAACCTGAGTTCAGTTCCCAGCATCCACTCCTGCAGGCACAACTGTGTGTCCAGTTCCCAGGAATCTGAGGTTGTCTTCTGAACTCAGAGGACATCTGCCTTCACATACCCTATCCCCACATATGCACATAATTAAAATAAAAATAGATCCTTTTTCCAAAAGGGGATGAAAATATATTTTGTCTTGTTTTTTGAGAAGGGTTTCTCTGTGGCTTTGGAGCCTGTCCTGGAACTAGCTCTTGTAGACCAGGCTGGCCTCGAACTCAGAGAGATCCACCTGCCTCTGCCTCCCGAGTGCTGGGATTAAAGACGTGCGCCACCAACGCCCAGCTTGGAGCTCCCTGTCTTGGTATGTTAGGAAAGCAGAGAACAGGATGAGCTGGAGTCAGGTACAACACACCAACACTGGCTAAGTGCCTGGCTCTGTGCCAAGCGGGCTGCCTTCTTTCCTGCCCTGGAAGGGACGAAATAAAAGTCCAGGGTGCCTGGCAGCCGTCCCTTGTGAGGGAAGAGTGCTGCCTGTGATTGAGAGGGAAGTGGTCACACTGACAGCGGGTAATGAGGGACAGAAGCTGAGCCCGGGTGTGGCTGACCCAGGAGCCGCTCGGATAAACAGTTGTGCAGGAGGTGGGACAGAAGTTCTGAGGACACCGGGACCCCTGGGAGGTGTGAGAGGCCATGGAGGGCGTCTGAGGCCTCCCCGAAGAACAGATAGGCCATGGGGTGGCAGGCACAGCACTGGGCACAGCCAAGGTTGACTGGGAAACACAAAGGCCAAGAGCTTGCAGCAGGGCCCTCAGCCAAGGATAAGAATTAATGGCAGGCTGCTCAGAGGCAGGATGGTGAGGTCCATCTGAATCTACACTTGTGGGTCCCAGGGGGCCCAGGGAGCCTAGTTCAGGGTAGGACTTTCCTGGAAATGCGGGATGGTGTCCAGGAACTGGCGAGCACAAGGGAGGAGTCAGACACTCGTGATGGCAAGAGGGGACCCCAGCAGGCAAGAGGGGACCCCAGCAGACAAGAGGGGAAAGGGTGCTCTGGTGTCTGTGGCAGAGGTGGGGGTTGTTGGGGAGGTGCGGCCAGCTGAACAGGAAGGGATTCAAGAGGAGGGCAGTGAGGCGAACAGGTGAACCCCTGGCATTTGGGAGGGGCAGCACAGCAGCCTGAGAGTGACTGGGGTGGGGGGTGAGAGCCTGCGGCCGGCCGCGGGGAGAGTTCCCACAGGTGCCTCAGGCTACTGAGGTGGAGTGGGAGGGCCAGTCAGGGGAAGCAGGCTGGAGCAAGTCTCCCGGGCTCCAGGCAGGTGGGGCCTCCACAGGTGGAAAGACTCTGGTGACCTTTCTTCCTCGTGCTGAAGGCTAGGGAGGCTTGGATGAAGGGCAGGGGCTGTGTTCCAGGGGAGCCACAGTGGGAAGAGGCTGAGCAGGCCAAGGACAGTCCCCGGGCAAGGCTGACAGCAGGGAGCTAACGTGCAGCGCCGAAAAGCTGTGTCTACTTCCTGCTCTTAATTTTACTTGGAAAAAGAACCTTAAATCCAATGACAAGTGTCTTTCCAGGACAAATAGGGAAGCCATGTAATCCTGAAGGCAGAGATCAGAGACCTAGAAGCTGGAACGTCTCTTAAGACACAGGGTTCCCGGGGACACCTCTACAAGGAACCGCCCTGCTCCCTAGGTTACAGACTTTGACTCTGTGTGGTAATCTGTCACCGAAGACCAGGAACCCAGTCCTTGGGAATGTTAAAAGGGCATGTTGCAGGGATTCCTCTGCCAGCCGTGGCCAGTGCCAGGACAGAGAGGCAAGACAGGCTGGGCGGGTGAGCTGGAGGGCAGCAAAGACTGCAGAAGAGCCGGGGAGAGCTGGGTGGGATGTGACTGGGGGGGAGGCCTCCAGGAAGGGCCCTGGGTATCCTTGATTGGCAGCTCGATTGGGTTAGGAAGCATCTGGGGGACTCATGAAGAACATTTCTGTGTGTGGAGAGGATTAACGGAGGAGGGGAGCCTTGTCCCGAATGTGGGGACAGGGGCTCTGATGGGATGAATGAAAAAGAGGAAGCCTCTCTGTTTCCTAGCCGCCCAGAGTGTGAGCTGCCCAGAGATAAATCTCTCTTCCCGAAGTTATTGTCTCAGGGATCTGTCACAGCAATGGGTAAATGACACACAGACACCTTCTGGTGAAGCAGTTTCGGGACAGACAAGGTTCCAGGATGCCCCTGGGCTGTCGGATGGGTGGCCAAGGAAGTGCTCAGGGAAACTCCTGAGCTGAGGATTCCTGGGATGGGCGGCTGTCTCCCCTAGGGAGAAATATGTCTGAAGAGCAAGGGCGCTGCCAGCCCTCTTGGGTCATCATGTCCTAGGGGCTCTGCCCTGCTGACTGGGCCATTTGGAGGACACCTCAGGCCCTCTCTCAGCCTGTTTCCTCACCTCAGAAGTAGGGTGCTGAACCCCCATTGTTTGGTCTTAGACTTGGCCTCATGTAGCCCAGGCTGGCCTCGATCTCATTGTATAGTAAAGTGTGGGAACACCAGACCTTGAGCAGAGACCCACTTCCCCTTCTTGTGGGAACACCAGACCTTGAGTGGGGAACACCCACTGTAAAGGGTGATCATGATTTGTTTTTTGTTTTTGTTGTTTTTCAAGACAGGGTTTCTCTGAATTGTTTTGGAAGCTGACCTGGAACTCACAGAGATCCGCCTGCCTCTGCCTCCCAAGTGCTGGAATTAAAGGCGTGCACCACTCAGGCCCAGCTTTATTTTATTTTATTTTTTTAGAGACAGGTTTTCTCTGTGTAGGTTTGGAGTCTGTCCTGGAACTGGCTCCGTAGACCAAGCTGGCCTCGAACTCACAGAGATCCACCTGCCTCTGCTTCCTGAGTGCTGGGAGATCTTGAATTCTTGATCCTCCTGCTTTCACCTTCAAGTCCTCGGGATTCTAGGTTTTACATACTGTGGGGTCCAGGGCAACTTGGTACCCACCTGCTGCTTGACTGAACTGCTGTAATGCCAAGGCTCAGTGGAGACCGACCAGAAAGCGGGCCTGTAGTTTCAGTTCACCTGGGGCAACACCTGACTCAAGGAGAAACCACAAGCTGAGACCACCTGGGCACCACCCAGGAAAGGGCCATCCAAGGGGAAAGTTCCTAACGTTCCAAAGGAAATTCCTAATGTTCCAACCATTGTAGACTGGATCACCCGGTGTCCCTTAGCCTAAGCACACACCCGTCCCCTTTCACCAAGCACCCCTAATGTCAGCCAATCAGAATCTTGAACCCTGAAAATCCTCTGTCCCCCCAACCTCTACTATGACAAAAACCCTACACCACTTGGGCTGGGCACTGCTCTCAATGGCTGGATGGGACAGACGAGTCCAAGCTCTAGCTTGAATAAGGGGTCTTTGCTTTTACATTCGGGACTTGGTCTCCTCGTTGGTTTCTGGGGGACTCTGAGTTCTGGGCATAACACATCACCTGGCAAGCAGGACTCTATTATTTTGTCTTCTATCTATTGTTGTTGAAACAGGGTCTCTTGACTGTCCTGACGCTCACTATGTAGACCAGACTGGCTTGAGCTCAGAAATCTGCCTGCCTCTGCTCCTGAGTGCTGGGATTAAATGTGTGTACCATTAACTTCCTCATCCTGGAGCCAATATTTCTGTATTCTGATACTTCCCCCAAAGTTCTCCAGGTCCCTGGGTGACACCCAGAGCCCTCTTACCTTGGATCTTCATTTCTGTGGAACTCGGAGTCCTCTGTCCTCAGTGCTATTTGTGTGAGTATTAAATGCGTAGGGGAGCGGTCCTCTTCTCAGACCATCTATAGGAATTGCAGGACCCAATTCAAAATGAAAATATGAGTCCTCTGGTTCAAGTATACAAAGGGCTGGGTGTGGTGGCACTGGGCTATGATCTCTGCACTTGATAAACTGACGTAGGAGAATTGTGAGTTCAAGACTGGCCTGGGCTACAGAGTAAAACTGTGCCAAAAGAGCAAAAGCGTTTACGAAGAATCTGAAATGGGGTGCAGCAAACCATACAGACAGCTTTCAGAGGGGCGAGTGGGAATGTGGAGGCTGGGCTACCCTCCCCACCCAGGGGCTTTGCAGCCTGGTCCTGCCACAGCGTCAAGAGGGACTGAAGTCATACCGGTGAGGTCCGTGACAGATGACAGGGGGAACAGGAAATGCGACTATTAGAATTATCATTGTGGTGTTGAGGTCAGCATCCTGCCCCTCCCCAGTGACCTCAGGCAAGTCGCTTAATCTCTGGGCTTAGTTGTTGACATGTGATGGATGACATGGAGCTTCCAAGATCCACAGCCTTAGAACTGTGATTTGGCCTCTGTGTAGGTGACACAGGCAGACAGAAATACCCACCATATGGCTTTAATCCCAGCACTCGGGAGGCAGAGACAGGCGGATCTCTGTGAGTTCGAGACCAGCCTGGTCTACAAGAGCTAGTTCTAGGACAGCCTCCAAAGCCAGAGAAGCCCTGTCTCGAAAAACAAAAAACAAAACAAAACAAAACAAAGAAAAAAGAAATACCCACCATAGACTTGAGACATTCCGGAGATCTGGCAGCCACTGGCAAACTGTGGTGCTCCTGGGAGGGTCTTGTGACCCTTACATGGAGAGTCAACTCTTCATCCTGGACAGTCACTATAGGAATACTTTAATGACACTTGACCTGCTCCTACTTGGTGCCCCCTGCCCAGCCTCACCCCTCCAAGATGTCTTGGATGTACAAGCCCTGTCTGTCTAATCAAAGACAAACAGAGGTGTCACACTTTGAGGGTTTCAGCTAGGACTGTCCCATTTTGCAGAAAAGGAAGCCTGAGGTTGTGAATTGTAAGTAGCCATGCAAAGCCAGTTGCCCAACTTGTGAGTATCAGACACTGGTTGCAGCCAACATCTGCCTGCCAAGCTCACACCCTGTAGGAGCCCTACACATGAGGTCCTCAGCTAGTGCGTTAGTTAGGATCAGCCGGGTGCTCGGGGGATCTGCGCAGGACTCAGCCTCTCTGCCTGGCTGTCCTCTCTGCCTGCCTGTGCCTCTCCCCATCCCATCATCTCGGGGATTCCTCGTCTTCCACTGAACTCCGGGCCCATGCTGTCTCCTCCGCCGTTGAAGCTAGCAACAGGCCTTTTCTACTTCCTGTCTCTCTGGAGAAAGTCCGATTTAAATGTTCCCTGACTTTTTTTTTTGTTTGTTTCCTTCTTCCAAAAGCTGTGTTTTCAATTAATTTTATAATAAAAGCCATACCAGATTCTTGAAAACAACAGCATCAAGAAGTTATTTTTAAAAGCTAGCTCGGGGAGAGCTTACCCAACTCTGCCCGCCCAGCTCATCAATGCCCTGGTTCCCGCTTCTACCCCTCTACCAGATTACTGCCCTGTCACTCTCACCGGGCCTCTTGAAACTACTTCTAAACTCCCTTCCTAATGCCCCCTGCCACTGTGTACAGCTGCCTGTGTAGAGCCCCTGCCCTCCCCATCACCCAGCCCGCCTCTGCAAGGCAGAGCTGATCTGCCCGGATTGCTTTGGACTTGTTCAAAAGTCACCAGGGATTTGGCAGCCCCCAGGGATAAAACCTAGATCACCAACCCCCTGAACTCTTGAACCTCAGTGCCCACCAGACGGTTGACTCCTGCCTTTGTATGTGCTGGATTCTCTGTGAATGACCCTGTTTCAGAGTGGGGGAATATGCCAGTGCAGGAAGACAAGATGGAGGAAAGAAGTGGACATGCCCAGGTCTCAGAGAGCAACCCACCAGGGGTTTACAAACAGAAGTGTGGATTAGGTAGGGTAAAACAGGAGGTTCCAGCACCCCAAATCTGGAGGAAGTATGTGCATATGCTTTGTCTACCTCAGGGAGACAAAGGAGGCACATTGCCAGCCCGACTACACCTGGGCTTCCTCAAATTACAACATCAGTGGAGAGTCAGGGCACCATTGTTCAGGGTTGGGCACAAAACTCTCCACTGACTATTTTAAACTCTGTGTCTTACAGGGTCAGGTCACATGGTGGATGTGGTAGCTAATCTTCGATCTCAGCTTGACTGGGTGTGCCTGTGGGTGTTTCCAGGAAGGTTTATCTGAGGACCCACTTTAAATGTGGGCAGCAGCATTCCTTGGTCTGGGGTCCCAGACTGGATAAAAAGGAGAAGGTGAGCGCCCTGCCCCCGCCCTCTCTGCTGCCCGCATCCTCTTCCCCTTCCTGATCACAGACACTGTGTAACCAGCAATCTCATGCCTGCTGCCTCGATGGGCCTCATCCTTACAATGGAGCCAGATAAACCCTTCTGTCCTAACAAAGCTTTTGCCACAGCAACGAGAAAGTGGTGCGGTGGACAAGATGCTGCCCGTGACTAAGATGGCTCCAAGATGACTACGCAGGTCATAGGACTTCATTCCTCAAGACTCCACCCAATTAGGTCCCCGTCTGCTGACCTGTGGACCATCCGCAGGCCACAGTGAGGGGACTCACCTGTTGTTGTGACAATTGTGTGACACTTGGTTTTTTCACCTCACAAGGTCCTTCACCTCAAGGTTGTTATTCCTGCAGTTGTTGCCCTGGTAACCCTGAAGGGTCCCAGGATGGGGAGAGGATACCCAGGATCAAGTGGCCCTAAGGGGCCTCACATAAGCATCTCTTCAGACTAGCATCGCCCTGGACATAGTCATCTCCCCTGGTTCTTTCTCCTTCCTTCCCCTCTACATGCTGGGCTTGAGCTCAAGGTGTCACATATACTGAACAGAAGCTCCCGAGTGCTGGGATTAAAGGCGTGCACCACCAACGCCTGGCTTCAGCCCTTCCTTTTTAAAGTAATATCTTTATGGTTTGGGTAGTGGTAGAAGATTGCTTCAAAACTAGCATGCTTGTTCCTACATTTTAAAGAATCCCTCTGAGTATGTGGGTCCTCTAATGGCCTTCTTGCGTCAAGTTAACCTCGGAGGTAAAGTGGAGTAACAGTTTGCCAAGTTTCATTTCTATTTTCTTGGTGTTCATGGCTAGGCACAAGTTAGTGTTTTGAGACAAGGTCTCTCTGTGTAGCCCTGGTTGTCCTGGAATTCATTGTATAGACCAGGCTGGCCTTGAATTCAGAGATCTGCCTGCCTCTGCTTCCAGCTCAAGTGCTGGGATTAAAGACCTCCATCGCCATGCTAGGTAAGGCAGTGTTATTTATGTGTGTGAAGATGTATCACATGAATGTTACACTGGAACTTGCTAACTTCTAAATATTTTATTTTATGTGTGTGAGTGTTTTGCTTGCAATCACGTCTGTTTCCCACGCTCATGCCTGGTACCTATGGAGGTCAGAAAAGGTCATTAGATCCCCTGACCCTTGAGTTGTGGTTATTTGTGAATGGTCACGTGGGTGCTGGGATCCAAACCCAGGTTCTCTACAAGAGCAACAAGTGATTTTCACTGCTGAGCCATTTCTCCAGCTTTTGGAACTTGCTTTTTGTGACTTAAAAAATACACGATGGTTATTGGGCCCAGTGTTCCATGCCTGTACTCCCAGCTCTGGGAGGTGAAGCAGGAGTCTGAAGAGCTCAAAGCCAGGCGAGGTTACACGTAAAGTTGAAGCCCAGCCATGACAGAGCTCCTGTGACTGTTACAGCTTAAGTGACTGAACACCTCAGTGGTTAGCACTCACTGTCAACCTGACTAGTTTTGGAACCTTATAGAAAGGAAACACCCTCAGAAGGCTAGAGGTATGTCCAACTCGTCCCTGTGTGGTTTAGTTCCCAGGGGAAAAACTCCTCCAGAATGTGTGCGCTGGGGTCTTAGAAGGAATGAAACAGAGAAAACAAGTTTGGCACCAGTTCTGTTAGTATCATAACTGCTCAGAGTCAACGTGGCCAGCCACCTGCCTTCTCCACCAGTGCTGGACCCTCCCTCAAGCCCAGAGCCAAACCCCTCCTTCCTTGAGCTGCTTTTGCCAAGTGTTTTTGTCACAGCAGTAGGAGCGAGCAGTTCATACAGTTCATGCAGACATTTGTAAGGAGGAACCCTGGTAATAAGCCTCATCCTGCTGTCTGTTAGTCTTGGCTCCTCCCACCCATGTTTTTAGCATAAATTCTCCAAACAGGGTCACTGGGTCACAAAGTCTACCCATTTAAGTTTTTGTGTACCTTGCAGTTTTTCCATCTCAACAGAGCAGTCCCGTGGGAGTATGTGAATGTGCCACACCCTGGCCAGCTCTAGGTGTTGGGAATCAAGTCTAAGCAGTTGCCAAGATCACAGGCGGAACCTCATTGTTTTTTATGCAGTTTCCTGAATGTAATCAAGGCTGGTGTCTTAGCTTGTGTCCGCTGACCGTTTCATTTCCTTTTCTGAATACTTTAGGCTCTAATCCTTTGTCCAGTTTTTAATTGTGTGTGTTTTTGAAACACCTTGGAAGACCTTTTGAACATTGTTGGTATCAGCCTTACTGTTTCTGTGTGTCAGTTACTGGGGAGAGGGGTGCTAGGCTTGAACCCAGAGCCTCAGACAAGCTAGGCTTCTGCTCTATGCTGACCTCCAGCTCAGTTGCAAATATTTTTTGTTGTTTTTGTTTTTTGCTTTTTCCAGACAGGGTTTCTCTGGCTTTGGAGGCTGTCCTGGCACTCACTCTGTAGACCAGGCTGGTCTTGAACTCACAGAGATCCGCCTGCCTCTGCCTCTCGAGTGCTGGGACTAAAGGCATGTGCCACCACCGCCTGCTCACCGTGATCTGTTTTAAAAAGAGTTTTAACAACACTTGAGACATTCCTCTCTGAGCTTCACAGTCACCCCTGAGACTAGTTCTCCTTCACCAACAAACTATTCCTTTTGACTTCACTTATGATGCTTTTTGTTCTTTGTTTTTATTCTTGGTTTTTTGTTTGTTTTTGTTTTTTGAGATAGGGTTTCTCTGTGGCTTTGGAGGCTGTCCTGGCACTCACTCTTGTAGACCAGGCTGGCCTTGAACTCACAGAGATCCACCTGCCTCTGCCTCTCGAGTGCTGGGACTAAAGGCGTGCGCCACAACCGCCCGGCAAATTCTGGGTTTTATAGGTGTATGCCATCACACCTGGTAGGGACGGAGCCCAGGGCTTCCTGTGTGCTGGCCAAACATTCTAGCAACTAAGCAAGATCTCCTGCCCCTCCCATTTGAGGCAGGGCCTAGTTTATTTAGACCTTGAATTTAAGGCAGTCCTCCTGCCTCAGCCTCTAGAGTGTTGGGATTACAGGAGTTCCCCATGCCACATCACCATGCCCAGCACTTGGGATGTATTCTGTAATGGAGACATTTTTGCTTCTAGCTACTTAGACTTTCCCTTTTGTGGCTTCTGAATTTTTTAAAGAAAACTTTAAAAGGCAAAAAAGAAAAGAAGTCCTTCTGATGCCTTTAATACATGATCTATTACTTTTAAATGACGGCGCTGTATTTCATTCTCAGAGCGAGACCCATAATTTATTTAGCCAAACCCTCAATTACTGAGCACTCAGGTTCCCCTGTGTCAATCCTGTCATGTTGTGCACCCTGGCTTCTCAATCCCATCTGTAACTTGACCTTGGGCTGGGGCTGCAGCTCAGTTGGTAGGAAGCTTTCCTAGAACGCACAGGGCCCTGAGCTCCGTCCCCATCAACCTATAAGCTGAGCGTGGGTTCACACCTGTCATCCCAGCAACTGGGAGATAGAGGCAGGAGGATCAGGAATTCAAGATCATCCTTGACCACTTGGCAAGTTTGAGACCAACCTGGACTACAGGAGATCCTGCCTCAAAAAGGAAAAAAAAAAAAAAAAAAAGCCTTGAAGTTCCGCACTGCAACTCTTCTGGTCTTCTTATACAGCTCAACACTTGATTTAATTAATCTCCATTTGAACAGAAACTGTGGCTCAGCCAGGGTGGTGCCGGTGAGACGGTTGACTGGAGAAAGCTCCTGCTGCTAAGGCCAGCTACCCGAGTTCAATCCCTGGTACCCACAAGATGGAAGGAGAGAGCAGACTTCTGCACGTTGTCTTCTGAACCCCCTCACAGTGACATGTGTGACCCCACACAAAGGAATTAATGTTTTATATATGTACATACATACAGATAGATTTTTTTAAAAAAAGGATAAGTGGGAAAAATCTCTTGTCTCCTTTACGGTTTTCCCTGGGAAATAACCCATGTTATCAGTTTCTTATGCTATCATGCACACATATGAAAACAAAATACATATGGATCTACATGTTTTTTCCCCTTTAAAAATATATGACTGCTGGGCGTTGGTGGTGCACTCCTTTAATCCTGGTACTTGGGATGGCAGAGGCAGGTGGATCCTCTGTGAGTTCGAGGCCAGCCTGGTCTACAGAGTGAGTTCCAGGACAATCTCCAAAACAATACAGAGAAACCTTGTCTTGAAGAATCAGAAAAAAAAGAAAAAAAATATATATGCATATATATATATATATATATATATATATATCACTGGGTGTGGTGGCACAAATCTGTGATCCTAGCTCTCTTGATGCTGAGGCAGTCCCTCTGACATCCACATTTGTCCACACATGTCGTACATGCACCACATACAATAAATAGATAAATGTTAAACAATTTATACAAGGGGGAGTTATCGAGCCTCTTGTTGGATCTCTGCGGGCCAGCTGGGTTTTTCTCTTTCCATTAACTGAGACCTTGTGTCCTTTGTGCTTTCGCCTCCAAGTTGAAGCCCTGTTGGCTCTTTTCTTAGTGATCTATGGGTGCTCTTTGTACATCAGAGGAGTCTTCCCTGGACTGATTTGTGAGATGTAATCTTCCACTGTTCTGCATTTTGTTTTGGTTTTTACTCTGATTAGGGGATTAGGTTGGGTTTTTCACAATACAGAAATATGTGTGTGGTGGTTTTGCATGTATGTGCCTCTGTGTGTGTGTGTGTGTCCGTCCATGTGTGTGTGCATGTATGTATTTGTGTGTGTGTGTCCGTGTGTGTGTGTGTGTATGTGTTTGTGTGTGTGTGTGTGTGTTTGTGTGTGTGTGTGTGTGTGGTACATGAACCAACATGGAAGAGGTCAGAGAAGAGCATTAGATACCTTTTCTAACACTCCTTACCTTATCCCCTTGAGATATGGTCTCTGCTGGAATCTGGAGCTCCCTAACGACAGGGTTTTTCTATGCAGCCCTGGCTGTCCTGGAACTCTTTCTGTAGAACTCATAGATCCACCTTCCCGAGCACTGGGATTAAAGGTGTACGCCACCAGGACCAGCATACATTTTTTTTTTTTTTTGGTTTTTCAAGACAGGGTTTCTCTGTGGCTTTGGAGGCTGTCCTAGAACTCACTCTTGTAGACCAGGCTGCCTCTGCCTCCCGAATGTAGTCTTAATTCATTGATCTTTTCTTTAGAAGTCTCAGATTTGCTGATATACTTAAACGGACTTTCTCCAAGTTACCTTTTTAAAAATCCTCCCACGGTTCCATTGAAATATATGTTTTGCTACATATGAAATATTACACACATATATTTATTTTGGTGCTAGGAACCCATTCTCTATCCATTTAGCCATGCCTCTAGCCAAAACATGACGTGTTTTGAATGATGGTATAGTATGTCACCATATGAGAGGACTATAATTAGCCAATCCCCTATTGCAGAATGTTTAAGCTATGTTTTCTTTTCCACTACTATGAATTATACAGCAGTGAGAAACCTATACATGAATTTTCAACTTTCCTAGGCTGAATTCCCGAAAGCCACCTTCATTACCAACCAGAGAGCAGGGTAGCCCTTCTCCCACAGCAGGGCTCCTCTTAAGACCAAGACACCCCCCCACCCACCCCACCCACTCCCCCACCCCAGCCACACCCCACCCCACCCCAGCCACACCCCCCACGCACACCCAGAGTCTGAGGTGGGAGAGGCAGGCCAGCATGGAAGACCCTCTCTTGGCCTGACTGAGTCCATCTTTGATTTGCCAGCCACACCATATGTGATGGAGGAAGTAGGCGGGCATGAGTCTGAAGGAGAAAGGAAATCTGAAATCGACCCTCAGGCTCTCCAGGGCACACTGCTGACCTTTGCAAGCAACTCACAACTCCCACAACTCTACATTCCAATAGATTTGTGACCAGGTTTTTAAGATCGCAGCAGCAGATCTGAAGAAGCAAGGCACTGCCTGGAGGCACCCTGGCCCAGATTTCCTAAGGAAGGGCAAGGATGAGAGGAAAACACGGCCAGGCTGGGCAGGGTGTGGCTCAGAGGCAGAGCACTTGCAGTGCAGCCCCCTGGCCACCAGTGTGGTGTGTCAACTGTCCAGCAACTCCGAGGGGCGGGAAGGAAGAGCTGATTTAACTATTTACAATCGCTGGAAGTCTGAGATCCTGGAACTCATTCGGCTAATGTGGTAGGCACCAATCTCCCCATAGATACCCTGATCCCCCCGGGCTACCCAGAACCTGGGAAAATGCAATGCTCTGCATCTAAGGGTAATTAGAGCTGTGGGCAGATTCAATTGCTCAGGAATCCCACTTGGAACAGGGAGATTATCTTGAATTATATGGGCGGATCCCACGGGAGAGGTCAGTCAATGTCCAAATAACAAAGCCGAGAGGCAGCACCTGCCATGCCTGGCTTCAAAGACAGAGGTGGCCGCGAGCCAAGGAATGTGGGCGCCTCTAGCCCCTGGAAAAGACAAAGATGCTCTCTCTTAAAGCTTCCAGAAGGAACACTACCCACCAACGCCCCGAGTTTCAGTGAGTCTGATTTATAGAAAGGTAAGTGAATAAGCGTGTGTCTTTTTAAGTTTGTCTTATTATAGCAGCCACAGGAAACTAATACAAATGCTACTTTGTGTTGCCAATAAAAAGACGCTCAGAGAGGGAGTGCCCTGGCAGATACATACAGCATCCAGAAGCAGAAAGAGCGTGCACTCCAAAGCGTAATCCTTTGTTTGCCAGATCCTTCTGATAACTTTTGACTTCTGGTGTTAGCCAGAGCTTGGCCTGGAGAAACTGAGGCAGAAGGATTAACCATTCAAGGCCAGTCTGGACTACAGTGAGTTCTAGGTCAGCCTGGATGATTTAGTGAGACTTTCTCTCATTTTTTTTAAAGGAGAAGGGCTGGGGGTATAACTCATGTCTGAGCACTTTATTTAGCGTGTATGAGACATTGGGCTCAATCCCCAGTGCCAGAGGAACAGGAAGGAGGGGGGAGAGAAAGAGGAAGAAAAAGTTGGATGGGACTGGTGGAGAGTCCCAGCACATGGAGAGTACGGCACTGAAGCAGGACTGCTGCTAGTTTGGGATTAGCCTGGGCTACATAAAGAGCTCCCAGGCAGCCCGGGCTGCACAAATATGAGACCCTGATGAACGAGGGAGAGGAGAAGGGAGGGGGAGAAAAGGAATGGAGAGGAAAAGGAGGAGGAACAGAAGGAGGAAGAAGAAAGATACAACAACAACAATATAAAATTGCGAGGAAAGCCACCAGGGCCGTGGAGATTCTTCTGCAGGCTGGGGAGGCCGGGAGCCCCTCCCTCCAGCTGCAGATGTCTCCCAGATGTGGTGGGCGGGACACTGGGACAGGGGCGTGAAGTGTGGGTGGATGAGGGCGAGAGGTCCGGGTCTGGCGCGCTAGGGGCCCGGGCCGCACCGTCGGGGGACTGCTGTTCGCGGGCAGGCAGGGAGGAGCGCGGGCGGAGCCGGGGGTGAGGGTGTGCGGGCGCGCCGGAGGGGGGGTGGTGGTGATCCGGGCGGAGCGGCGGTGGGCTCGGGTTACTTCCCTTTAACTGGCCCGGCCAGGCTGGCAGCGGCTGGGCAGGAGCTGCTTGGAGCAGTGCGCGGCCCCAGGCAAGTACCGGGCCGGGCAGCGACTGCGGACTGTGGAGGTTTGGGGACACCGGGCGGGCGTGGGGCTTGGCGTCCGGGGTGCAGGAGCTAACCGCAGCTTCTGCCCCAACTCAGATGGGTAAACTGAGTGCCTGGCGCTCCCGAGGCTGTTGGAGTGGGTCCCCGAGGGTGCCAGCAGTCTCCAGGTGTCTGCAGGGCTCAGAGGGAAGCCCCAGCCTTGATAACAGAAGATGGCCAGGCCTGGAGAACAGGGGGTGGCTGGTGCCCGGGGACGCAGTGGTGCCGGGGTCTTGGTGGAGAGAGGGTGGCCAGAGTCAGGGATATAGGGGAGGACGGGTGTCGGGGACTCACGGTGGACGGGGGTCGAGGGGATACTGGATGGTTGGGGCACAGAGATCTGGGGACAGTATGAACAGAGGGCGCGCTCAGGCCCAGGGAAGTCACAGAGTTCTGCTCTGCAGTCCCTCCCAGATGGGTTTAGAGCGGTGTCCCCGGCCCGGATGCCGGGCCCCAGCCTCTGTGAGGAAGTGTGAACTAGGCTTTATCCTCGTTTTTGCTACCTGGACTCCCGCTGGAGCCCACCTCACCCCATCCATGGGCATCCTTCCTGGAAGTGCGCCAAGTCAGAGGTGGCTGATCCTGAGCACACAGTGCTCTCCTGGGAGCAGTGCCGGTGACAGCTGGAGCTTGTTCTGCCTAGGGGTCTTTCCTGTCATCCCGGAGGGTCAGGGCTTTTGTGACTTAATGCCCCTCCATGCTCTGAGGATACCAGCGAGGTGTGCAGTTGGGACATTTCGGGGCACTAACTCACCCCTGTGGCTGACCGTGAGAGTAAGGTCTGGGGTGACAGGTGGACTCTCAGGACCTTGGCCAGTTCACTGTGACCGTGGCACCTGGAGCAGGTGGCCTCCGACTTCTGTCAGCGTGTGTGGCCAGTAACAAGGAGGTGGGCCTCCACTGCACAAGACGATCACAATTCTCCAGGGGGAGGGGCTGTGGCTCTGGTGTTCCGTGGAATCCTCCAGCAGTGAGCTGTGTAGTCCAGGTTGGCCTGGATCTCTAGGCAATCCTCCGGCCTCAGCCTCCGCCTCTGTGTTTGATTATGGGACTCTCCCTCCACCCCCAGGATTTGAACCTAGAACCATATGCTTGGTAGCTCTGCAGAGTACCTGAGGGGAAGCTGTGCGTTGCTCACCCCGAAGCCCCTTCATGCCAGAGTCCCCACAGGCTGGTGGCCTCTCAGCTCAGCCTGAGTCCTATCCTGAGGGACCCAATGGCGGCCTCATTTATACCTG